AATCTTTTCTCCAGTCGGAATAATCTGCTCAGGTGGTAATAAAGTAACAGGGTTGGGAAAGTTACTTTTTAAAAATAACTAGTTACAGTTATCGTTACCGAGTCAAAAAAGTAATTAGTTACAGTTACTAGTTACTGATTCTCAAAAGTAACTCGTTACAGTTACAGTTACTTAAAAAGTAACTATTAGTTACTTTTTCAGTTACTTTTTTAAAATGTTAAAACAAGATTACAGAATAAAAAGTTTAATTTTAACATGATAATTTTAAACTTAAAATTCTTAAATAAAATGTATTATATATGAAACTAAAATTATATACATATATGTATATTATAATATTATATATACATATTATACAGGGTGTCCTATGAGTCCTATGACTCGAGGTCCGGGTGTGTTATTGAAGTCATTTAGAGTTGAAATTGTTTAATAAACATTAAACATATCTCCGTAAATATTCCTAACAGAACCACAACTATTGAAAGTTAATATGAATATTTGAAACATTTTCAAATCCTTAGACTACTTTTTTTGGGGGCATATGAAGTCAGTAGTTTATACAGAACAATCTCGCAATAGGGATGAACTTGTGAACAGAATTATGGATGCAGCAACGCAAATAAGACATTCTCCTGGCATGGTGGAGCGAGCTATTAGATCACTTTTACCTTTTGAAACAGTTTTTTAGGCTTCCTGAGAGAAGCCGCTGATCAAGGCAGCGACATAGACGCACTTGACATCCCTGCTTTCACTCTCCCTTATGACGACTTGGCTACCAGACCTGTGTTTTGTCTGTCGAAGAAAGATTATTATTTTTCTTCGACAGGAGATCTGTCGGTCTCCTCAACCGACAAATCAGGCTCTTCCACATGTACCAATGGTGTTTGAGTAGCTCATCGGCTGGCAATGCATCGAAAGGAATATCCCTGATTTTGATCTCGGTGAATAGGCTTTTTAGCTGATTTGCTGATTGTTCATTGGCGCATTTATATAAAGATGATTACGCTATTTCTTTCTCAGGAATTTCTCATAAAGGTGGGAACTAGCGCACTCTCGAAGTTCAAGGATCTGCTGATCAGCTTTCTGATCACACCCACTTCACCGACATCTAGCCCTCGTTCTAGAAGGCTATCCTGATTATGCTCTTATCTTAATCGCTTGGGCGCAAGAACATAATCTTCGATCAGTGACCTTGGGTTTTTTGCCTGGGTGACTATCCGACAGATTGGAAATATTGTGGCTTAAAAAAAGACACGCTTTTACGTGTCACATGTTGACCATATCTTTCTCTCTTTGTCCTTTGTATCCGAAGAGTAGGACTTTGGGCTTTTTCAGCCTGTCCTTCTCTCTGCAGCTGCTTTTTATAACAACGTCTGGCAGTGCTGCTATAGCGAACTCGAGTTTTAGTTAGACCCGATTCCGCAACTGGGGACTCCTCTAGTCGTTCGCTCCCTAAGAAAACCATATATCTTGGAGGACTTTGTTTGAATTATTTCAATCGTTAAGGCCTCCGCACAATAAAAAATATAAAAAACAAGGAACAGATATTAGCGATTAGGACTAAAGAATCAAGAATAAAGTTGGATGCACGATGAAAAATACAGGCAACAGAAACAATGAATAACACAAGCAATAGATTTTATTGGAAGCCGTGTATTAATACTACACCAGCTTTATTCCTGATTTCTTATTTCTAATCGCTAATATCTTCTTTGTTCCTTATATTTTTCCTTGTGCGCGGGCCTTTATTGTTATTTCTGGAACAAAATGGAACTAAATTTTATTTTTCGTCCCACAAATACCGCGATCGCACGATTTCATCCGGATAGAGTCGCGAATGCCTGGAATTTGGTTCGTATTCCCGAAGGGCACACGATATCCGGGAGGCACCGTGTGTGACATAACTCCCCTTGCGCCACACAGCAATCGGTATAGTATAGCTTATACCTTGTGTGGGAAATTTCTCTTCGTAGATTGTACTCACAATCAGTTACACCTCTGAGTGCGACCTTATACCTTATACCTTTCCACCATTCCAAGATGAGATAAATAAATCTGACACATACACTATAGATCAGAGTACCTATTCTTATAGGTCTGGGTACCTATTCTTGAAATCGTTTGTTATTAAACAAATTCGTTTTTGGCGCCAATGAATGCCAGTCAGTTGGCGCCACTAATCATTGCGTGTGTAAACTTACCTTAACTATAAAAGTAACTGTATTAAAGTAACTTAAATTAGTTACAGTTACCGAAAAAATGTAACTAAGTTACCGTTACAGTTACCAAAAGAAAAATGTAACGCAGTTACCAGTAAGTTACCAAAAAAAGTAACTTGTAACGGTAACTAGTTACAAGTAACTAGTTACTTCCCAACCCTGTAAAGTAATAACTATTAACTATTTAATATTTAACTAATAAAAAGCCGTATACTATTTACTAATAATTTACCCTTATCGCGCAATTTTTACATATACGATGAGCTTGTCGAAAACACCTGCGACGTAATCTACACTAACAATAAGATTAATTATCATATTATTATTCATTTATTAATTACATATATTTATAGTTACATATATTTTTCAAATATTTCATATTTTTCATAAGAAATATGAGCATTTC